AGTAGCCTGGTGAGGTCAAGTTAACATCCGCAATGCCATTTACTATCCTCTTCAAGGCAGGTTAATTTCCACTATTTGAAGGTATTAGAATTTACCATAAAAAGGGTTTAATTAATCCTTATCGGCGATCAAGGTGCAAACACTTAAATCAAACCAAACATATACAAACTATTTAAGTGATAAATCAGCCCGAACTGGATTGGAGATAAAAAAGCACAAATGGAAGCGGCGGCCGAGCCCAGATTACTAGGTGAAAATGGATCCGAAAGTCAGATCTTACAATGCTTGTCAGAGCATCAAAATAATCAGTCACTACAAGCAACCATGAAAGCCTGTATTATGGAGACATTCCAAGAGGTAATTAATAAATGTAGAAAATCCGACAAATTCATTGGTTTTGATGCAAAATTTGGTGCGTCAATCACTCTACTAAAAAATTTCTTGTTTTCTACTGCCAAAGTGACGTACTGAAGGCCATTGCAAACAACAGGCATTGTATACATGCCGTCACCCCAAAACGGCATTATTTCGTGCCAATTTCGATGTCATACAGTAGTAGTAGCGATCACAGCCTAGTGAACTTAAAATTAGCCTTCTCCAAGAGTTGAAAAGCTATTCTTAATGAATGAAGCGAATCTTTGGCAAACAGAAAAAGAACTAACATGAAGCTTCTTCAATTTCCCCTGTATCTTCTCTTGCACACGCTTGTGCCAGATCTCATGTCGCAAGAAGTCCCAAAACAAACGCCCAATGAGAGCATTAAGCCATGGAACTTGGCTATCACAGCTCACGTAATTGAGGTTCAACTGTAGCGCCTGACTGGCGCGTAGTAACCACGATGCAGGCATGAATTTAGCCATGTGACGCAGGTACACCATTTGTAGTTCGGCGTCGGAATCATAATCTGAGGAATTTGAAGGGGAGTGACGGGGACAAACGGATGTGGTAACCACGCCCTCCTCTGCAACCGTAGAGGAGTCTGCTACCGTCGTAAAGTCCGTGGACGAAGAGCTAGTTCCCATTGACGGTGAAGAGGCAGATGCCTTCATCGCCGACGTGCTCGGAGTCAGTAAATGCTTAAAGGCCTGCAAAAGATCGAAGCTCCTACATGCGTGTTTGATAGAGGTACAATTTACTGCAGCCTTATTAAGCGAGTAAGCGGATCAGGTGTTGAAATATTAAAGTTTTCCTCAATAGTGACAAAAGGGGAAGTAAGTGCGCGTGTGGTTGAGAATCACTCGATTGTGTGATAAAGCACGCATTAGGAACAAGGAGCCTTAGATGGTCATAGCCCGCAGAGGCAATAGTGGATTTTCGTATGGCAAAACTGAATGACACTTACGCAACAACGTTGTGAGAGAAGTAAAAAATTTGCCTAAACGACAAGGAATAGAAGGCACTGTTCGTGTACACACCAAATAAACGGTTGAGCAAGTGCACGAGACACGAATCTTTTTGTTGCATTAGTAGCCACGACACGATTCTTCGCGAGGATAAGCCAAATCGGGTAAGCAAGGCAGTCACTAGCGTAGCATGATTCTGGCTGGCCGACATGCTCATTATGGAGGGAATTATCTGGAGTTGGTGGGTGGAAGCAAAGACAAGTGAATATTATTTGATGACCGTATCTGTTGGGATAAATGGAGCATCTACACCCTAAAATTTATCCACTTTATATCAGACTACAGCGACGTTAGTTTTGAACGTTCCAAGTAAGTGTTTTGCCTTTTGATGAATGGAAGTTAAAGGGGTTTAACTTACCCAATAATGAAAGTTAAGAGGACAGCTTTAAGATACAAGTAGAAAATGCGTCACAATAAGAGAATGTGAAAGCAATGGCTTGCCTGTTGAGTGGTGGTTAAAAGTGGTTTTCCAATGGAAGCGCCCCTGAGGCGTCGAAACCAGGCCTCCTTTTCACGACAGGTTCGTGCAAAGAGGTAGATCTTCTCCTCCAAATCTGAGTGTCGAATGAGGAGAAAGTCCTCGGGAGGGTCCTGAGGTGGCGATGCCGCATCCTCTCCCACTGCGGAGCCGAGGACGGTACCCGGATTAGTAGAAACTCGAAGAAAGCGACTGGTAGAGACAGAATAGCCCGAGCCTTCGTCTGGGAAGGATGATACTGATACTTTGGAAAACGCTTCGTCGTGGTCTGCCGTTGTCAAAAGTCCAGACGTTGAGGAACTGCTTAAAGGCCGCACTGGGAGGCCTGTGACTACCTTTGGGGGCGTGGTATTGCAGCCATTGTCCTCCAAAGTAATTGGTGTTGCATTCTGAAGCCAATAATAATAACGGCGACCGGACGCAGTTAGCAAGAAAGAAGTGAAGTTTCTTAGATTATGCGACCACCGATGCCAGTTATTTACAAAAGTATCAATGAGAGCAGTTGACAAATCAACCAGTGGTGCTTTTGTAAAGAATAAAAACCGTGATGTCATAAAACACCTCGTTCGCAAACCCAAAATGGTTGGTCACCACACTTCGCGTGCTACAGTACGACCGCAACCTGAAAAGTTGAAAGTGTGGCTATCTCTAGGTTGAGAATGCTCAACTTCATTTACATAAAAATTTGAGACGCGACAGTAAAAAGACGGAGAATATAGTTCTGGTGGCGAGTCTGTTGAGAGGACCTCCAGAATGCGTGATGTGTGACTCGATGTAAAAAAGTGCTTTGATGCGAAAAAGAAAAGGAATAGACTGAGAGCCTACCCGCTCATTCTTTATGGTGAGACAAATAGGGTATTTCTTGCTCCATAGCCGCTTCTCCACAAGACCATGAGGCAGGAGGGAGACGGCAACCTTGCCCATATCATAGATGCGCTGGTGTATGAACTGCACCCCACAGCTGGGGGGCACCGGCACATTAAACATGGCCCGTCGAGGGACGTTTTTTCGAGGGCGTTGGATGCGCAGTTGAGTTCCCTCCAGTGTTACAAACACCGAGTGAGTGCTGTTGATGTGATAGGTATCCGGCGAGTAGGAGACAATCTGCCAGTGAGATGCAGGTGAGTGAGACTTCTATGGCCTACCTCATCAAGTAATAGCCAATACAACTTTCACATTGTTTTAAAAAAAGGCTGCAATTTATTGGCACGACGACTTCGGTCGCTATGACATGACTAACATCAACGCATTCTTAACATCATAAGAATGGCAAAGCGCATTGTAGAAGAATGTAGCCCTGTACCTGCAAAAAAACTGTACGTTAACGAGACATTTTGCTCATAAAATCGGAGAACAAAAAGAGGCAGTGGAAGAGCGACCGTTTGAGGAAACGTCTTAAGCGCCTTGAGATTTAAGGGTATGCCTAGGCGGAAAG